TATTTGTTTAACCTGTGGAAAGACATTGAACAAATTCCAAGTAGCTTATATAAGAAAATTCCCAAATAATTTATTTTACTTTGCTTTAAAATAAAAAAGGGGTGGGGGCTGTAGAGGTGGCTCAGTGGTCAAGAGCACTGGCTGTTCTTGCAGAAGACCTGGATTCAAATCCCAGAATCCACATAGCAACTAATAACTGTCCATAACTCCAGTTCCAGGGGATCCAATACCCGTTCTGTCCTCCTCAGGCACTGCACACACACACACGGGTGCACTTACCTACATGCAGGCAATACACACACACACATAAAATAAAAATAATGAAATTTTTTTTTAAGAAGTCCTGAAAATACTGTTTCATTGTAGTCATCCACCACAGTCCCTGTGCCTTGCGTGGGAAGGTGTGGGAAAGCTGTTCCGTTTAGAGCTAATTACTCTGCAGTCACTTATTCTCCTCACGTTGACCAGTTGTGGTTCTCTGTATTAATTACCGTCTACTGCTAAAAGAAGCTCCTCTGATGAGGCTCAAGAGATTCACTAGTCTACGGGCAAAACAATAAGTCATTAGGAGTGGGTTAATACTGTGTCCACTGGCAGAAATATCTTAAGATGTTCTCCCTACAGGCTTATGACCTTTCTAGCCAAAAGTTATTAACCCAAATAATGGTGCCAGGTATGGATTTCATCTTGTGGAGTCAGCCTTAAATTCAATCAGAAAGTGGTTGGTTGCGATTACAACATTCTTACCATCATTGCACCAGTAGGCATATCTTTCCAAGCCAGTCATTATTGTAGCTCCCAGGGTTCATAGCTGGGTGGGATTTATGGTTACTCTTCTCTTCCACTAGCACGCACAGCACCTTTCAACACTGTGAAAGATAACCAGTAGGGGATAAACATTACAGATGAATACCAACTTGATTTCTCCATGATCTATGACTCAATTATACATCTAACGCACAGGGTCCCACTGCAGAGTTCTGGAAGGTGACCAAGAGCAATAGTAATAGCCAGTAATGTTTCGAAGGGAGACATCAACAGGATCCCAATTGCCCAGCAACACGAAAATTGTAATCCATTCCTGGGACTAGGCTTTTTTATCAGCTAACCTAGGAGAATACAAGGTGCATTGTCATGTGACAGACTTACTCCATTTTAAAACTCTTTATACAAAACAAGTAAAACTCCATCTCAGGTCCTGGGAACTTAATGTGGGTTCTCTGCAAGAGCAGCAAGTGCTGCTTAACTGCTGAGCCATCTCACTAGCCCCCATGTCAGTAGCTTTAACTGAAGCAGATATTTATCTTATCAAATATCCTGATGAGACCTTCAAAAGACAGGTCTTGTCGCTTGTCTTAATCATATTTGACTGATGATGTTTCACTAAGAATTGGGAAGAAAAATAATACAACCAACTTAAAAAGCAAATCCAAGCATAAAATTTCTTCAGAATGCAAATTGCTTATCATATGTAGTGATATGAAGCCCCTCTTATTTTCTTAATAGCACTTTCAAATTTCAAATTTAATTTTGCCCAGGGTTTACCTAAGCCTTCTTTAAAAGGGCTATGCTTAGATCCCGTTCTGAATTCCCTATACCTCCCACAATTCCTTTCCCTGTTGATTTATGGTAACCCTCAACTCCAAAACAGCAATTTTCCTGCCATTCTAGTGAGAGGCAGTGAATACCAACGCTTTTCACTGCGCATCCATGCCTTTCAAATTGTGCCTCCTAGGGACTCTCAGTAATCTCAGAATGTTCCACAAAGACAGAGTGGTTTGCAAGAACCCAGATTACACAGCCAGTTAGTGTGGTTCAGATCCTACCTTGATCCATTCAAATTGTGTGATCTTAGGCAACTTACTGAATCCTTTTGTGGTTCAGTTTTCTCAAGCAGAAAGCTTCTGACTCCTTAGAAGATCATGGGGACATCTAAATGAGTGAATAACTGACAGCATTTATTTTAGAGCAAGCGATCAAAGGCACTCGCATGTTATGAGAGTGTTTGCCAACTGCGAGTCCCCCACATGGTGCTGAATTGTGAAATAAGTTTTCTCAGTTTTAAGTAGCATAGAGAAAATTAAATGGCATGTAACAGAATGAACAGAGCATATGAGAGCACATTGTACCAGTGCAGGACTTTGTTGCATACACCACTCATCCCTCTTTCTGGTGTTCTTGTGATTTCAAGTGTGTGTGTGTGTGTGTGTGTGTGTGTGTGTGTGTGTGTTGGCCCACTGCTGTGGTTAGAATGTGAAATGCCCCTTATAGCCTCATGTGTTTAACACTTGGTTCCCAGCTGAAGGCACTGTTTTGAGAGGCTGTGGAACCCTTAGGAAGTGGGGTCTGACAGGATGAAGTGGGTTTCTGGGGGTGGAACTTGAGGTTTTATAGCCTAGCCATAATTCCTAGCCCTCTCTGTGCTCCTGATCTACCCTGGTGTGGGAAGCAGTGTCAGTTTTGTGACCGTGCTTTCCCTGCCACCATGAACTGTGTCCCATAAGAGCGTTAGCAAAAAAAAGAAAAACCTTTTCTACTTTAAGAAACTTCTTGTCACATATTTAGTCACAGGAGCAACAAATGTACTGATTAAAAGTGTTTGAAAAACCCTATGCCAGAGTCTGAAGTGAGAAAATTTATTTTTTTTTTTAAATACTGACCCACTGGAGTGAGCAAAATCCACTGTGAAAGGAATGTGAATGTGAAGGTGAGCTCTTGCTTCAACTTAAATTTGCTTCCATTTCAGAGGGAGACCAAAGGGCAATTTCTTATTGACTACATCTGCAACTACTACAGCTTGCTAGAGAAAGACTACTTTGGAATTCGCTATGTGGACCCAGAGAAGCAAAGGGTAAGAGTCAACCTGAGTCCTAACACATTTGATGGGAGGGGGCCCAGACTCTGGGGCACTGCGGGGTCACTACCAGAACCCTTGACGTTCCCTTGTTCTCATGGATTATTAGCCACAGGAAATCAAGCAGCTAGTGGGTATATGAGTAGAAAATTACCAGAGTGGAAGAACAGGAAAAAGGAAAAGTTATCTTAGGCCTTTCAGAAAGCTGGTCTCACATGGAGAGAAAAATGTCCCCATGCTCCTTGAGCTTAGGCTGTGCAGGCTTTGCCAACCTCCTTCACACTAGCTGCATATACTCTTATGAAGAAAAAACCCTATCACCATGAAAAGTTACTGGCAGAGTAGGACTTGGTGGGGAAAGAGGGTTTTCTGTTTTTGGTTTTCGTTTTGGGGGGGGGTTGGTAATAAAACTTTTGGAGCTTCATACTGTCCAACATAGTAAATGTACTCAATGCTACTGAAGTATACATTTTTAACTGGATAATCTTATGCTATGCGGATTTCATATCACTGAAAGGTATAGCTTGGAAGGAACTTCTGAGTAAGATGTGACCTTTCATGTGATTCAGTGAAAGAAAAGTCAAGATAATCTGCCACAACCTTTGTTCCTGTAAGAGACAATAAACTTAACAAGCCAGGTGTAATCTTATGTGGAAGCAGGCAAGAGAAGCTTCAAAGTGGTGCATCCTGCACAGCTACCATGAAAGGCTTCCCTTCACACATAGTACCACTGCTGGGAACAGTGAGCAGGACTGTCAAGAACTGGGTACATAACTGGAGGTAACTACTAGCAGACAATATTGCACAGGGCTCAACTGAGTACTATGGAAGAGCCAGGGGAAGAACTGCAACGAAAGTTGGAAGTCAGTGGGGCAAAGACCTTTTATTCCTTTTTCAGCAGAGACCAAAGCAGCTGAGTGTGACTCCTTAAGGCCAAGGTAGACGCCTCCCCCAGTCACGGAGGTCATTTAGGAATCAACTGCAAGAGCTCCTTTCTTTCCCCAACCCCTTTGCACTATCAGCTCTATCAAACTGGAGACACCATGTAAGTGGGAAGTGAGAGTTATGCTGTTAAACTCAGTGCAGTTGAGCCACGTACTCGACCCAAAATGAAAATGGTCTAAACTCTGCTGGGACAATACATTCCCCAAATCCGGTTTATTGATTTGGACTGAAATTTAAAATTGCACCTCATGAATCAGCACAGTTGGCTATATGAAACATTTCAGGAAGGAAAACAATTAGAAACCCAGCCAAGCAAGCACGGAAGCAATATTGACTGATTTGATTTTGGGGGGTGGGGCCAGGTTGAAACAGGGTCTCCCTGTAGCTGGCCTCTAACGCCCTATGTAGAACTGGGTGGTCTCCTCTGCCTCCTGAGTACTAGAACTAAAAGCATGCAACAGCATACCCACCCACATGATTTGATTTTTATAAAAGAATCTAACACACTGTTATTACACTTTTTGTCCTGTTGGTTGTTACTAATTTTTTTTTACCTTTAATATTCATTCCTGGAGAAATATCTTGTCATGAGCCTGCTTGTTTGTGTGTTAGTAGGTTAGGGTGTATGACTGTGATGTACTCTTTACCTTTTCTACTGTTTTCTGCCATCTACTGTTCTTCCCACACAATCCATATACTTTCTCAATCCTACCTATTTCTCTTTCCTTTTTACTTCTTAGATCCAGCCTTCTGAAATTAAAAAAAAAAAAAACACAGGAAGAAGCTTAATTTTTCTTTCTAGAAAAGGATTCACAAAGGAAAATGTAATTAAATTCTATAGAAACATGAAACAAATATGGAGAAAAAAAATCTAGAAACAGTCTGTCTATCCATCACGTGCATATAATACAACATTATGTACAAATTTTATTTTAAAATGGGGACAATATTTTAAAGTCAAAATTACAAACGAAATTGTTATATGAAAAATACAAGTGAGCTAAAAACATACAAAGATTAATTTGACTTCTAAAACATGTGGGACACACACAGAAATCTTACAGAACGCTATATAAGCTATATTGCATACAAATTCTCTAAATGGTCATGAAATGATAGTTGTGAAATTCTGAGATCTTATGTTTTTAGAGTCTCAGTAATTAAAATATACATAAGCATTCTATTTTGATTTAAATAAAATGTATTTAAATCAAAATAATAAATATGATGATATGTTAAGTAAAATAGTCTAGTTCATAGACTAAATTAAGATACCATATAGATTAAGGATAAGGATCCAACTTCTGCAGAGACAAATAATCTGTGTTCTTCCCCTCAGATGTCTAACTCAAATATAGGCTCAGTCTTGCTTCAAGTTCAACTCTGGTGACTATTGTGTTGCCTTGTTTGCTGAATTAACATTATCAAGTAAATTTGTTGAGGTTTTTTAGAAGTGGAATACCAATACTTAAGATAATTTTTTATATGATGATTTCAATGATTTGGATTTTGAGGCAGTTGCCTTTCATAGTAAAAAGACTTCTCTCAAAGCTGAGTGGTGGGGGGGGAGAAATTGTATTTCAGAAATGAGTTTTTCAAATACAACCAGTTCAATCCATCAATATTTTCCTAGCACTTAATCTTTTAAACTGTTCTAGTGAAAAGCTGCTAGTAGGTTGTTGTCTGGCATTAAGGAATCTACACTCTTCTGATTGGGAATTTCTAAGAGGCTAGCTCCAAACACACCACAGCAATGATCAATTAATGCCATGCCCTGTGGGTCTATTTTACAACAGTGGTTGATTACTTCAGAGTTTATGAAACATAGTTTAAAGTGAAAAGAAAGGAGAACAGAAGGAAAATATATACAATTGAATGCATGTTGGCATGTTGGGATTTTCTATAGAACTCATTCTGTGATAGTTTTTTTAAGCTTTTTTTAAAAAAATTACTTTTCATTTTTGTGTATGATTACTATGCCTGCATGTGTGTAAAAGCACCCAGATCATGCAACAATGCCTATGGATGCTAGAAGATGAAGTCAGTTCCCCTGGAACTAGAGTTACAGATGGTTGTTAGCAATCATGTGGGTGCTAGGAAATGCACCTGGGATCTCTGCAAGAGCACCCATGCTCTTAACCACAGAGCCATGTCTCCAGCTCAAATAAAACCTTTTGGGAAATCAGAGGTATGGCCTAGGTATGTAGTGTTAGTGTCTGCTTGAATGACATATTTACTTATAATAAGGACATGATTATTCTAAAAAATGCTGGTGACAGAAGACTTAAACTTTCTAAAATGGGGTATTAATGGAGTGGGAAGATTATCACATTATGTCATTATAGGTTTGATTTTTGTTTTTTGTTTTTTAAAAAATTATTTATCTAATTACCACATGATTAGAAGAAGCATTTCATTGCAGCATTAACATATTCAGTAACAATTTCCAGAGCAAAGATGCATCTCTTTCAAATTTGGCTGTAAATTTTTAGGTTCACAGATGAATTAATACAGTTATACAATATTGAACTCAGTATAAACCCTGTAAAATATAAAATTGAGTGA